CAAGATTCAATGGATTCAGTTATGGAAGCTTTCAGCTCTTTGAAATGCATTTTCATTTTCAATTTTTATTCTTCTTTTCTTCTTCCATATTTATTAAATATTTATTCCACTGCCAATTGCCGTCAGTATTTTATTGATTTCTGTCTTTCTCCTCTCCATACAAAATAAATAAAAAATAATAAAAATACAAAAAAAAAAAAAAAAAACATGCTTAATAGCAAGCACTTATATGTAAGTAGTTTTTGCAAAAACTGAACTCTATAAATTTCTCTCGTGACAGCTATTGAATATTAATTGAAATAATTATACGATAAACACTTGAAGCATGCAAAAAAATAAAATGATTAACTGCCCTGAATAAATTAATTAAGCATAAAATTGTCACGTGATAATTGTTGGAAGAGAAAAAAAAATAAAACAAAAATACAAAACAAAGGTAAAACGAAATACGAGCATAAAGAAACTAGAAACTAATTAAGGTAGACAGGTAAAACGATAAAAAAAATGAAATGACAGAAAAATACATATAAAAAAATTGTTGGTGGTTTTATTAGTTAATATATGTATCAATAAAATAAAATTGAATAAAATACAAAAAAGAGAAACGTATAATTATTATCATTGGCAAATTGTCAATCTAAAAAAGAAAAAAACAGAAAAATAAAGTCGTACATAGGCAAATGCATACTTGAATAAATATGTATATAATGTACGATATACAATACATATATATATATATTTTTTGCACATAGATTTACCTAGACCATAAACGAAATGGAAATCGAATTGCATTTTAATTCGTGGTCGAAATTGTCCACAACTAAAAGGCAAACAAAATACAACTTTTCAATGAGAAACAAAATTAAATAAAAAAAATATAAAAAAAATACTAATAAAAATCCTTTAAAACTTTCCCAAATAAAAAAGTTAAGAAACTTGTAAAATTCAGCCAAAAAATGGTTATAGAAATTAAGTGGTATTACTTAGATGTAAGTGGTATTA